CATTTATTGTATTGGCCCACTCTCTATAGGTTATGCAACCTCTGCGTGCGTCCAGTTATCTTTTCTATTGACCAATTTTGTGTAAGTTATGCAGCCTTTGCGCCCAGTCATCTTTTGAATTGACTCACTCTGTGCAGGTTGCTCATTCACCTTCTATCCTGCTCATCTGTTGTATTGACTCACTCTGTGTAAGTTGCTCATTCACCTTCTATCCTACTCATCTGTTGTATTGACCCACTGTGTGTAAGTTGCTCATTCACCTTCTGTCCTACTCATCTGTTGAATTGACCCACTGTGTGTAAGTTGCTCATTCACCTTCTATCCTACTCATCTGTTGTATTGACCCACTGTGTGTAAGCTGCTCATTCACCTTCTATCCTACTCATCTGTTGTATTGACCCACTGTGTGTAAGTTGCTCATTCACCTTCTGTCCTACTCATCTGTTGAATTGACCCACTGTGTGTAAGTTGCTCATTCACCTTCTGTCCTACTCATCTGTTGTATTGACCCACTGTGTGTAAGTTGCTCATTCACCTTCTATTCTACTCATCTGTTGTATTGACCCACTGTGTGTAAGTTGCTCATTCACCTTCTATTCTACTCATCTGTTGTATTGACCCACTCTGTGTAAGTTGCTCATTCACCTTCTGTCCTACTCATCTGTTGTATTGACCCACTCTGTGTAAGTTGCTCATTCACCTTCTATCCTACTCATCTGTTGTATTGACCCACTGTGTGTAAGTTGCTCATTCACCTTCTGTCCTACTCATCTGTTGTATTGACCCACTGTGTGTAAGTTGCTCATTCACCTTCTGTCCTTCTCATCTGTTGTATTGACCCACTGTGTGCAGGTTGCTCATTCACCTTCTATCCTGCTCATCTGTTGTATTGACTCACTCTGTGTAAGTTGCTCATTCACCTTCTATCCTACTCATCTGTTGTATTGACCCACTGTGTGTAAGTTGCTCATTCACCTTCTGTCCTACTCATCTGTTGAATTGACCCACTGTGTGTAAGTTGCTCATTCACCTTCTATCCTACTCATCTGTTGTATTGACCCACTGTGTGTAAGCTGCTCATTCACCTTCTATCCTACTCATCTGTTGTATTGACCCACTGTGTGTAAGTTGCTCATTCACCTTCTGTCCTACTCATCTGTTGAATTGACCCACTGTGTGTAAGTTGCTCATTCACCTTCTGTCCTTCTCATCTGTTGTATTGACCCACTGTGTGTAAGTTGCTCATTCACCTTCTGTCCTACTCATCTGTTGTATTGACCCACTGTGTGTAAGTTGCTCATTCACCTTCTATTCTACTCATCTGTTGTATTGACCCACTGTGTGTAAGTTGCTCATTCACCTTCTATTCTACTCATCTGTTGTATTGACCCACTCTGTGTAAGTTGCTCATTCACCTTCTGTCCTACTCATCTGTTGTATTGACCCACTCTGTGTAAGTTGCTCATTCACCTTCTATCCTACTCATCTGTTGTATTGACCCACTGTGTGTAAGTTGCTCATTCACCTTCTGTCCTACTCATCTGTTGTATTGACCCACTGTGTGTAAGTTGCTCATTCACCTTCTGTCCTTCTCATCTGTTGTATTGACCCACTGTGTGTAAGTTGCTCATTCACCTTCTGTCCTACTCATCTGTTGTATTGACCCACTGTGTGTAAGTTGCTCATTCACCTTCTATTCTACTCATCTGTTGTATTGACCCACTGTGTGTAAGTTGCTCATTCACCTTCTGTCCTACTCATCTGTTGTATTGACCCACTGTGTGTAAGTTGCTCATTCACCTTCTGTCCTACTCATCTGTTGTATTGACCCACTGTGTGTAAGTTGCTCATTCACCTTCTGTCCTACTCATCTGTTGTATTGACCCACTGTGTGTAAGTTGCTCATTCACCTTCTATCCTACTCATCTGTTGTATTGACCCACTGTGTGTAAGTTGCTCATTCACCTTCTGTCCTTCTCATCTGTTGTATTGACCCACTGTGTGCAGGTTGCTCATTCACCTTCTATCCTGCTCATCTGTTGTATTGACTCACTCTGTGTAAGTTGCTCATTCACCTTCTATCCTACTCATCTGTTGTATTGACCCACTGTGTGTAAGTTGCTCATTCACCTTCTGTCCTACTCATCTGTTGAATTGACCCACTGTGTGTAAGTTGCTCATTCACCTTCTATCCTACTCATCTGTTGTATTGACCCACTGTGTGTAAGCTGCTCATTCACCTTCTATCCTACTCATCTGTTGTATTGACCCACTGTGTGTAAGTTGCTCATTCACCTTCTGTCCTACTCATCTGTTGAATTGACCCACTGTGTGTAAGTTGCTCATTCACCTTCTGTCCTTCTCATCTGTTGTATTGACCCACTGTGTGTAAGTTGCTCATTCACCTTCTGTCCTACTCATCTGTTGTATTGACCCACTGTGTGTAAGTTGCTCATTCACCTTCTATTCTACTCATCTGTTGTATTGACCCACTGTGTGTAAGTTGCTCATTCACCTTCTATTCTACTCATCTGTTGTATTGACCCACTCTGTGTAAGTTGCTCATTCACCTTCTGTCCTACTCATCTGTTGTATTGACCCACTCTGTGTAAGTTGCTCATTCACCTTCTATCCTACTCATCTGTTGTATTGACCCACTGTGTGTAAGTTGCTCATTCACCTTCTGTCCTACTCATCTGTTGTATTGACCCACTGTGTGTAAGTTGCTCATTCACCTTCTGTCCTTCTCATCTGTTGTATTGACCCACTGTGTGTAAGTTGCTCATTCACCTTCTGTCCTACTCATCTGTTGTATTGACCCACTGTGTGTAAGTTGCTCATTCACCTTCTATTCTACTCATCTGTTGTATTGACCCACTGTGTGTAAGTTGCTCATTCACCTTCTGTCCTACTCATCTGTTGTATTGACCCACTGTGTGTAAGTTGCTCATTCACCTTCTGTCCTACTCATCTGTTGTATTGACCCACTGTGTGTAAGTTGCTCATTCACCTTCTGTCCTACTCATCTGTTGTATTGACCCACTGTGTGTAAGTTGCTCATTCACCTTCTATCCTACTCATCTGTTGTATTGACCCACTGTGTGTAAGTTGCTCATTCACCTTCTGTCCTACTCATCTTTTGTATTGACCCACTCTGTGTAAGTTGCTCATTCACCTTCTGTCCTACTCATCTGTTGTATTGATCCACTGTGTGTAAGTTGCTCATTCACCTTCTGTCCTACTCATCTGTTGTATTGACCTACTCTGTTTAAGTTGCTCATTCACCTTCTGTCCTACTCATCTGTTGTATTGACCTACTCTGTTTAAGTTGATCATTCACCTTCTGTCCTACTCATCTGTTGTATTGACCTACTCTGTTTAAGTTGATCATTCACCTTCTGTCCTACTCATCTGTTGTATTGACCCACTGTGTGTAAGTTGCTCATAAGGCTACTTTTATCATAGACATTTGTTCTAATGACAAACTCAGAACTAAGATATATTACGTAATTTAGGCTGCAGCAAAATCAAGATTCTGTTAAATTAAAACTATAGTATGTTACATTGCTTTGCTAATAGGCCCTGAAACATACCTTTTTCTTTAAGAGTTAATAGAGCCAGCTCTGTTGTATGGAAGTGAATCATAGACATTAATTTAGTGAGAAATTACACAGAGGCTGAGAAGATGTGATTCTATAGCATAATGCTGAGAGTACATTAGATGTTTAAAAAAAAAAAAATTTCGACTAAAACCAAGTCACAAAATATAATCAGTTATTCACATCAGATTAAGATTATCCACATTTTTGTGAAAATTTCTTTATCCTTTGTAAATGTGACAGAGTGGCTAAATCAGGCAAATCTGCCTGTGGCATCTGTAAAAAAAATACTGAAATTGTTGACATAGAGACACAGAGAAATATCTGTTGTCAAAAATGATTAGCATCAAGTGAAACAGGAAGCTGTGGACACATCAGAACAGGTTTTTAAAGATGAGAGAATTGACTTTATTTCAGCAGGTTTTATCCAGTAAAGCCCCATCTCTCTTTCCCCCCCCCCCCCCCCCCCCCCCCCCCCCCCCCCCAACCCCCCCACCCATCACCCCGAGTGGCTGTTTGCCTACTGAGAGTGGTGCACTAACCATGAAACTATAGCTCCACTGATGCCCTTGGAGATCTCCAAAACACCTGCACTTGCGAATAGTAGTCTTAAATCAAACCTTTAACCTTCAAAGGGTGTAACTACTTTACCAAGGGGTGTTGAAAGATTAAGACACTGCTAGTGCACAGATTCCAACCCACAGGTAATGACCCCATATGGGTTCATGAAGGGTTTTCTGTGGGGTCGCTGGAAAGCAGTGAGCTATGTAAATAAAAAAAAATTTTAAAAATGAAAACACAACCCATTTCATTGTGTCTTCAACAGAAAATCTGTTTTCAGTGTGTCTTTATCTACTCTGTTAAAAAGCCTGTTCTTAATACATGGGGTCGCAGGCCACTTTGCCTCTACAAAAATGGGGTCACGGCTCAAGAAAGTTTTAAAACCGCTGCACAGTATGTCACTTTTATCTGTGATGGTAATATTTGATTATCTATTGTACTATTTTTAATTCTGGCGGGTCATGCTAGTTCTACTAGCCATCGTTGTCTGGAAAGACTGAAAGGTGCCAACCACTGTCTTATGTCACGTTTAGTTTTTAAAGTATTTTTAATGTTATTCCTTAAAACTTTAGATACATATGCTTGTAGGGAAAACACATATACCACACATGGTATGCAATTACATTATTTGCTTTAGTAATGATTCAGATGTATTAAAAAATTATTACAGTAGTATTAGCATTACCAACTCACAGAGTATAGCATTTTGCAGTTTAAATGTTATCTTTTGAATTAATTTTCTTTTTGCTCACAGATGGATCAAAAGTATCTCCAGAGACACTCAGGGAACATTTACAAATAGAAAAAGTACCAGCATCTGCTGATACACAAATTTTAAGGATGTTGTTTCCGTTTGCTGTAGATGTCACCTTTACCCCAGAACAGAACAGTGTGGATTCAGAATTCAAAGGGTAAGTACCTGTTAAATGGACATCTGTATGGTCGTCGTCATCGTATGCATCGTGTCTGCTGCGGCCCATCCTGCTTTTCCGCATCTTGTGAGTTCCAGCAGCATTTGCATTCGAGTCTAATTGATGATAGGTACCAAGCCAGTATGCCCTCTATTTGTTGTGATGTGAATTCTTAAGCTGTCAGTCCATATTTTCCGTCTCCGTCTGCCTCTTGGTCTTTCCATTTTCAGGTTGTGCGCTTTTGCTGCTGAGATTGTTTGGCTTATTCTTACTAGGTGGCCAAACAATTTCGATCTGTGTATCTCAAGGAATTTCTTTTTTCTTTTTCATTCGCCCTAGTGTCATAAGTGTGTTGTGTCTGTTTACAGCAGAGCTGCAATATTTGAGCCTTTCAGTCGACATTTCCGACTTCATCGAATATTTGTTGACCAGGCTAACATCCTGGATAGTTTAATGGGACAGGGGCCGTTTGTAGCCTTATTTGTGTGGTGTTCTCTTTGTCTCCTTATCTACAGGGATTGCCCCTGGAGACACCATCCAGGACATTTGCGTGTAGACAGGTTGGCTCTCAAGAAAACAGAGGTAGATCATGGGCATTACCAGCAATCCAAGGAGGCTTCCATAAATTGCAGGGCCAACACATGACACTCTGGTCCTGGGCTCATCAAAGGAATCATAATGTCCAGCACAGGACTGCTATCCTTACATCGGCATGTTGAGCTTTCCACTTGTCACAAACTACACCCTCCAGAGAGCAGCCCGCAGATCAGGGACTTCGATGGCCACACAAATAAGTACATTTTTCTTCAGCTCGTTAGACGCTTTTTACGTTGTTTCTTCAAGAAACTTAGCAAGGCAGTACGGCAGAGCGTGCATCCAGCATGGTCTCCCCATTTTAGATTTCACACTGTGGCGAGGGGGCCAGTGATAACGGGCATGTGAACCTTTCTGCTAGCTAGTAGTCCTTTTTTGGTCGGAAATTCGGGACTTTGTTTCTGTGCCATATGCAATGTACCTGACAGACATTTATGCTACACCAGCACACTGGCTGGCAGTGGCAAGTTGTGGTGATGTTCTTCAACTCGGTACCACAAGTTCAGCCTCTCATTCATCAGAACATTAGATTGCTCTCTTAGAGAAAGGCACATTTCACCTAGGTACTCAATATGGCAGAAAGGGATGTACGCAGACAGGACTGTTCTGTGAATTACTTGCAAGAAGTGTTGCTCATCTAGGCTGCTAGCAAATCTCTTGTTTTAGGACTGAATCTCAACACTACAGTAGTTCTTCCCACTTGACAGATGTTTTAACTGAGGGTTATCATTTAGTAAAATATTCGGCTAGCAGACTTTACCAATTTTCCAAATGAGCTTTGAAAGGCATTTTCACCCATGCATTGGGGGTGGGCTGATGTAAGCCCCACTGGAGGCTACGTCTCTAGAGGCCACTAACTCTGAGATCCCTTGCCAACTTGGTTCAGATTACAAAGGCGAGCCCTTGTCTGACGTGCGGCTGGAGTCTATCAAGAGGATCCCTAAAATCATTTTAGGGCCGGCTGGTGCCGAGGTGCGGTACGGAATAACTCCTTATTCACATCACAATGGCCTTCACTTTCTCTTACTGTGGTGCGCTCAAGGAGTTTAATAACATATTGCCCCAAAACCCACACAGGGAATCCAGTGATACACTGAGGGCACATGTGGCTGATTAGGCCAGAAAGTACTTTAGTGTGGACAGCAGATAGTTGATACACTGAGTACACATGTGGCTGATTAGGCCAGAAAGTACTTTAGTGTGGACAGCAGATAGTTGATACACTGAGTACACATGTGGCTGATTAGGCCAGAAAGTACTTTAGTGTGGACAGCAGATAGTTGATACACTGAGTACACATGTGGCTGATTAGGCCAGAAAGTACTTTAGTGTGGACAGCAGATAGTTGATACACTGAGTACACATGTGGCTGATTAGGCCAGAAAGTACTTTAGTGTGGACAGCAGATAGTTGATACACTGGAAGAGGTGGTGGTTCTCTCATTTGTGGCCAGAAATTATAAGTGGCCAAACAAAATGCTAGGATGAGTTCTGCAAAGGATACCCAGCTACCTGATCAGTCTACTATGTTCATTCCTTAAAAGTGGCAGCATTTATTTGTTCCAGAACACTACTGCTCTGGGGTCTATTAACAAGGGTATCCAGAAAATTGCAGAATTTTTGGGGAAATGTGGGGGGGGGGGGGAGATGGCTATCAGGAAGACAGCTGAGCACCGCACCTCATATGTCAGGGTTTAGAATATGTAATGTTTGAGACTTCACATTCCACTGGCAGTAACTGATATGGACCACCTTTACTTTCAAATACAGTGATAAACTATTTACATTTCAGCCCTGTGAATGTCTACTATGTCAACGCTGGATGTTTGGAGGCTGTTCTGGACTGCTGTTCTGAGCATACTTTCAGTGGACATCCTCTGTCAATCAAGTACACAAGAAAGAAACAAGGTAGGTTGTGTACACACATTTCTATGTAAATTAGGCGTACAGAGTATGTGTGTAGACACTGACAAACAATACTTTCCTGCTCCTCAGAATTCTATTTGTTACTGCTCTTGTAATTTTTATTTAAAACTAGCTGTACCTGGCCACGTGTTGCTGTGGCATAGTTTGGCTAAATGGAAATGAAAGAAAATAGAAAACGCACGTGTCTAATACAATCATTGTCTGCTCAGATATAGAGATAGTCTTTGATCCCCGCCCACCACCACAACTAAATCCACCTACTACTATCTCCCTCATCAAAGGTTTTTGAAAAGACTGCTCTCTCCCTCTTCGAAGGATTTGAAAATCACTAACTGGCGATATTTTGTTGTTGCTGTAACTGACATTGACATCCCTGTCCATCTGGACTAAAATAGGGAGCAGGAATTGTAAAAGGTAGTGAATAGGGCTAGTGTAATATTTACCACATCATCCTTCAAGTACCAGTACAAACTACTAAAATAATGTCACTGCTATCTGTGTTACCATCGGAGTAGACAGAGAGTCGTGAGCCAGAAGATTTGGTTCCGCATGGCTAGTGCTGTCGCCACAGACTGGTCAGGTTAGGATGTATAATTTCACTTGCCGACAGAAGAATGCCATAACCTTACCGGCGGTCTTCACATGAGAGCACTATGGTGTAACAGCCCTGGTGTAACAACTATTACTGCTGCTGCTACTTTAAGTGGGTAAAGCAGTTACTGTGACTTAAAGCTCTCTCAGTTAATATAGTTTTGCCCCCCCCCCCCCCCCCCCCCCCCCCCCCCCCCCCCCTCCCCCAAATTCACCGACAACTCTTTCCCTCATTGAAGTAGTTAGGAGAAAAAAAAAACACTTGAAAAGCAAACGAACACAGGAAAAAAACACCATAATTAGGAAATGAACGCCATTGTAAACAGCACAGCTTAAAATTCCAACACAGATGAAATAACTAAATCTAAATGAAAATAAATGAAAATCTATAAAATTTCAGCGTAACCATGCAATCGGAAAGTTTAACAATGCAATCATAAGTATGCGAAATGGTCAAATTTAATTATCGAATGGTTTACCCATTTACTTGTTTTTTTTTTTTTTTTTTTTAAATATTAAGGCAACATGACTAGTGCTGTCACTAGACAGAGCAGATGAGGATATTATTTTAGTCCGGGGTAAAAAAAAATATTTAACGACTGCGGATTCGAACCCAGGTCTACCGCACATGAACCCAGTGTTCTAACTATTCGACCAAGCAGCCACTTAATCGGAACAACGAAAAGAGAACTCAACTATTAGACATGTGTGTCCCCACTACTGTAACGACCTGTGTCGCGATTAAAAGGCAATTGTTTTCACAACATCAAAACAGAGGCAACTGTCTGCGCCGACGTCGAGATAGTCCTTGATTGCCCCCCCCCCCCCCCCCCTTTGGAAAAAAAAAAACAGAAAATAGAAATCGTGTTTAATATGGTTATTGTGGCAAATATAGAGATAGTCTTGTTTGCTGTACCACAACCTACTCTATGTATTAGTATTAGAGAAGGCGTTGGCTGCACGTAACTCGCCGGCGAATGGTAAATACGGCGCATGCGCAATTACTAACGTGGCTATAATTAGAAATCACTAAAGTTATAAATATTAGTTGCGTATATTTTGGCATAAATTGTGGTCACCTATCTCTAACAGTGACAGGTTGAATTTCAAACCACGACAGTTCAAAATCCGGTATCACAACAAACATATCCTGAAAATTTCAGCTAAATCGGTTCAGTAGTTTCCGAGTCTATAGGGGTGAAACAAACACACAAACATTGATTTTTATATATATATAGATAAATGTTTTCTTACTACTGTAAGAGCCAGTTAATGAACGTGCACTATTCCTGAAACAGATCATAGGGCGTGCCTGCGACGCCTAACAGCGTTAAGCAGAGAAAGCCAATAAAGTATTTTTAAACAGAGATTGGCAAAACATAATCGTTAAACTATTTTTTCTTTAATAAAAGAATTTATTTTACACCATGCCTTCTTCACTCCTCATTTTACCAATCAGTATTTAAGTTTTGTCTGTTATTTTGACCTAACAATATAGTACTTTCAGTACTATATATATATATATATATGAAATTCAAAACCCTGTTCAAGCAAGAAAGCTAACCTGTGTTGCAAGTGGAGACTGCGCACATACTGACATAACTACCCACAAGTGCTCACCATCAAGGGGTTTTATTTGATGCTCATGTCTTGGTTCTTCACTGCTACTGGTTTCAGCCCACGGTATTCTTTTGTGTCTATTGTAGGATGTATAATGGGAAGGGGGGGGGGGCAGGTGGCTACGGTCAGGCCCAATGGTTTTATGTCTTTCTCTTTCATGTTATTTCTGGCTTATTTACAGTCTTATTTGACAGGACCATCCATGACATTTTACTTATTTTATTTATGCCAATATCTCCTCCTCTTTCTGACTTACTCTCTGTACCTCTCCATACTCTCTCCACTGTCAGTCTGTGTTTCTCTGTCTTCTTTTCCCTTGTCTTTTTTTCCCCTTTGTCTCTTTCTCTCCCCCTACGTTTCTCTTGCTTTGTTTCTGCATCTTTCTCTACCTGCCTGTCCCTCTCTGACTTGTCTGCCCCTGCTTCTCCCCCTTTCCCTTCATGTGTATGTCTGTCTCCTCTTTCCTTGTCTGTGTTTCTTCATGTGTCTTTCTTCCTGTCTCCCTACCTTCATCTTTCTCTGAATGTCCGTCTCTGTCTTGTCTATCACTGTTTCTGTTTGTCTACCGCACTGTCTCTCTGTATGTCTTAGTTTTTATGTCTTTGACAGTGATGTTGTTTAGCTCTAGGCAGTAACTGTGCTACTGCCACCCACCCACCCTCATGTAATGTGTACTTCTAATTTCTCTGGAAAAGTCAGGGTTGCTGCTTCGTGTGGCTGGTCGCATCACCTATACATTTTATCCACTTTCCTAATAATATCCTGAATAGTGCTAAATGGTTGGCAGAAGACATTTGTCTGATGATTATTTATATTGTCTGTTCTAGGCCATATTCCTATTCTGTTTCCATGCCTACCTGTAGCACAATATATAACTCTCATCTAAAAAAAACCAGAAAGGTTCCAATGATTCTAGGCTACACCCCTAAAGACTGGTATTTTCTATTCAGAGCCTAAAGCTAAACCAGATCCTGAAGCCAAGCGGGTAGGCATTTCTGAGACAGAGAGGAGGAGCTCCATTCATGATAAAAATGGAGACAATGGTTCTAAAACTGACAAAGATGGTGCTAAACTGAAGTAAGTTACATTTATTTTCCAGCGTTTCATTCAGTGAGATCATAGTTTTTTGGGGCTTTTTCCATTAAGCATTGTGTGAGTGAACAGTGCGGAGGCACAAATGGATCATCATATTCTGAAGAGAATGGTGCTGCGAGGAGTGACCTGGGGATCTGGCTGACACTCAAGGGAAGGGCGAGACGGATATAAAGTTGTACTGTTACTAGTACCATCGCAACTGGAATTCTGTGCTTGCTACTGAAGATTGGGCGGAGCACTTATGAAAATATCCCGAGGGCTGTGATGGTGATTCTTAACTGAACATTTATCACATATATACTGCAGAATTTATATCAGCTTATGATGAAGCACACATAAATTAATCCTTTTGATTGAAATACACAAATTATTTTGTCTGTTGTTACACTATTTGAAATTGCTTGAATAATGCATAGTTAACAAGAACAATTGAAATGGTTTGCCCACTTAGAGAGAATGCCTTGTGACACCATACCATACAAAACATACATGGAAAGAGAATAAGGACGTAGAGCAATAGGTAGACCAAGAACAATATGGAAGGATAACATCATAGAAGCTCTACAACAGCACGATGTGCCTATGGTCGAGGCAGCCAGAAGAGCCAGAAACAGAACCTTATATCTCCCTCGACACCCACAGCTGTAAAAGAGGAAGTGAAGAAGAACAAGAATAATGAATAAATAATGCAGTGAACAGTCATAATTTACTAAAAAAATACAGCTACTGTCAGCCATTCTCATTCAGTTTTACAGACAAAAGAACATGGTTGTATTCTCATTGTAAAACAGGCACTTACGTTTTAGGGGTGGATATTTGTATTTCAGGTAACAGAATTCATTTGTTTGCTTCATGTTAAATTCAGTTACTTCAGTATCACCTGATGAGATACAGCAAAATATGTAAGGCATTAAATTGTGCAATGTTTTGTGTCTTTGCAAACTTGACTTCATTGTTTTTAAAAGAAAAATTGATTTAAAATGAGCCAGATAAATTTAAGACTGATTATCATCATCATGTGCCCTACTGATACGCACATTCTGTAATTTTTCACTGTCTCACATGATTGTCAGAATTGCAGATCAAGTCAGTGCTCTAGTCTCATCGGTTTTATTAGAGGTTTACAATCATGTCCATTTATCTACACAAAACTGGATTGTAGAGGTTGTAAATTGGGAAAGACAAGATGGACAGAGTTGTTGTACCGTACCCTCTTCTAATCTGAGTGATATCGTTTCATTGTACTTGCTTTTAAAATCCAACTTCTGACATATTGTTTTCTAGTTAGCCTTCCCGATTAGCTTCATAGGACATTGCATAGCGATGTTGTTTGGATGATATCTTCATCTCTTGATCCACAGGGGTTGTCCGTAGTAGGCCCGTCCAGGTCAGCCAAGTGCAGACTGGTCGGCACCCAAAGGAAGGCACAGGAAGACTGTGGGCGTTCTCCATCATTCATGGAGGCATCCTTAATTGCAGAACTGATACATGGTGCTCTGGTACTGGGCTCACACAGAGAATCTTCTTAACCTGATCTGCATACTGAGCCTCCCACTCATCACATGCTGCTCCCTTTAGGGATCCACGAAAAGCCAAATTGGACCTGAGACTTCAGTGATCCCCTCAGATGAAGCATCTCACTTCCTAACAGTATTATTAGACTGCTCTCGTAGACAAAGGCAACTTTCACATAAAGACCCAGTGCGGCAGTATAGGGAAAGCATACATTAATCGTGGCTTCCTCTTTTGGTCACAACATATTGATGAATATGCCTTGTGGTGATCAACATTTGAACCTTTTGGGTCAACAAGTAGAATCTTCTCATGATAGACATCTGAATTGAAGATGTCATCTTGTAGGGAACATGACTGACGTGACGGATATTTGAACTGAAATTATTTAATAGGATACTGATTGACAGATGTTTGAACCAAAGTTTGCCATGTAGTAGGAATGTCAGGGAGTGGGCTTCACAGATTTTTCAATTGAATTTTCATTGGATGTTATCACCCATTTATTGGGAGCTGATGCTGCTGCATCTCTAAGGGCCGCCATCTCTGAGATCCCCTGCAGCTCAGTTTAGTCTAATAGTCTCCTTCATCTATGTCACACAGTGTGGATATGTGTGGCAGGAATGACCTGTCAATTTGGGGTATGGATTGTCCCCCTACCTTATACATGTTTGTGACCAAAATCACAACACCGCGAGTTGAATAATGGGTAATTATCAAGTTGCAAGTGAGCAACACTCATTGAAAACACATTTCATGTTTTTAGTTCTAAGATGCTGAAAGGTCATGCTAAAGTGAGTGACTTTCTTTTATTCAGGTCAGATAATTCAACAGCCTCATTGAGCACAGGTGCAAACATCAATGTGGATGAGGACATCTCAAACATGACCAGAGATGTCTGCTCAGGCATGATGGAGTCTCTGAATAAACTGCGCCAGCTGGGCACTGACAATCCAAATGTGATGAAAATACTTGAGGTTAGTGTCACATATCACTCCTGTCGCGTGCCTGATTTAAGGATTTCTCCTTAAGAACCAACAGCACTCTGAAATAAATATGTTGAGTCGTTGGCTCGTATTGGTCTAAGGGCTGCCCCGTGGCCAATATACGCTCAACTTATTTCAGGAGTAGGGCAGCTCAAGTTTTGGCACTACAAAATATATAATATTCCTAGGCACACTTGGCTGGACACCCCCACTACTATAAAAAGATAGCCCCAGGTTATGATAGCATACTATCATAACCATGTTAACACAGATAAATATCATAAATTGAGCATACATGTATTTTAGACATCTAAGAAGAATGAATGAGTGACACTCCAGTCAATAGTGAAACTTTAGAAATACTGTAATAAGTGTAACACATACATTATATAAGAATCAGCAAAGAACTTCAAGAACCCAGAGTGAAATGAAGGACCAAAACTTCAACTAGATCTGACTGCACGTGTATGAATGTTCCAGAGTCTGCCTACATCATCCTTATGATGAATGTGAACATTTAATAGTGAAGCCTGGCAATAAACCCATGATCGCCCACACTTATCTGAATCCTTAGTTTCTTGAACTGGCCGGATGTTCAGTCACTCTGTTGTTATGTTCAAGACAATTCCACACTAGACACCCAAACACTGGAGATACACCCAAGCTCCTGGAGAGGATCTCGGGTACCAAGTCAAACACTTGAGGCACAAACAAACTGCCGGATAATGGAGGTACAACACCCATAATGTTGTCTGTAGACAAACTGGAGGATTTCATTACTTGATGACCACAGTTAGGTTCACCATCTGATGCCAACCACTGGCTTAGACATAGGTGACTTCCTTGTAGGTGGTTTTGTGGACTGCTGATTCACTGCCTGGCCTCCAAGGAGATATCATCCCAAGCTTAGGAAATGTCCTAGACACCAAAGGCCGCCTCCTCAAAGCATAGGGGTACGAGGCACATTTGAGAACATCTGTTCTTCTAGGCAGTCAGGCAGAAAATCCCCGCTTCAATCTACGCTTAGCGTCACTAGGAAAGAAGTTCCCTGTATTCATGAACAAGGAGTAAACTGGTTTACAGGAATTTCTAAATAAAATACCAGAATTCGCCAACCCACTGTTGCAAGTTTGAAAATGAAGATTTATCAAAGCAACTAGAAGGTCCAGAAATGAAAATGTTATCATATAAAGGTGTAGATCAATATAAGGGACTATATACAGGTCTAAGTTTTAAATTTTGCTGAGCGCGAGGGATTTCAGAGTCCCGACTCGTCCACTGTGTATGGTGGCTGCTCACCTCACGACAGTTAGCCTTTGTATGTTCTTTATTGATTTTTTGTTGATTTGTGTTGTTGTGTGTGATAATATTGGGATAGATTATTGTGTAGCACTTTGTCTTCAAATGAAGCATAGACCCTCAACCAGCTCAGGCTAAAATCTTTGTAGAATGTTTACAGAGCAGGAGGTTCTATGAGGGGCTATTGTTTTATGTAGGTGACATCAGTGACTACTCATGTGTCAATATTGAGGAAGGCAAACTCACCCAAAGCGTTTATTCCAGTGCCATCTAGTGCAGATGATTCCTTGTTCTTTCCCTCATCTTATTCAGCTCTGTCTTTAATTTTCATCCTTTTTTTTTAATTGTTGGTCTTCATTGATTAATGTGGCCCTGGGCGCCAGAGAGCCATGCTTCAGAAATATAATGGACACCGAGCAAGGAGAAAACCAACAGAAGATGGAACAGTGGCATCAAGAACAGCCTTAAACGAGAAAACATACAACACATAAAAAGCAGAAGATCCTTACCTCCAACACTTTGGCAATGGAGTGAAGTGGAGGAAGTGAAGAAGTTATTTCACCATTGTTCTTGTTTTTCCTCTATATTGCCTTCTGGTTTCTTCTTTCTAGTGTTCTTGGTGTCTTTCAGTTTCAGAGTAGGCAAGGACCTGATGGGGGATGTATACAACGTTGCATTGATTCCTTTTGCTTGTGGATTCTGCCTGTTGCTCTGTTTTATGTTGTTTTCATTTTTATACAATGTATTTTGGCTGCAGTAGAGATGCGCTTCTACTGCTGTCTTTGGGAATATTGTAAGGTGAGATCCCTCTGTCTTCCACGGTGCAACTCTTGTCCTGCTGTTAGAAAGTCATGAGAATAGGCTTATTCTAAAACGGCTTCCATGAAAATTGAACTCTGAGATATCAGTGAAAGGTAACCTTTAGCAAGATGCAAAAGATCCTGACCAATGAGAAAATGTCACTTGCAGCGAGAAAGTGTTAAAATCTTATGTAGAACATATGTTGTTGTATGCATGTGAAACATGGACATTATAGGTATATAAATGGGAAAACATTTATTCACGGCAGAGATGTGGTTTTTGAGAAGAATGCAAAGATTGTCATGGAGGGATAGAAAAACAAATGAAGCGGTTCTCATTGAATCAGATAAAAGTCATAAACTTATTAGAACAGTTAGACATAGACAGTCAATATTTGTGGACATATTGTGAGAAAGAATGGCCTCAAAGGCTTGTTAACAACTGGCAAGATTGATGGAAAGAGCAAGGAGAAGGAAAAGAGATATAACACTGGATGGCCTGAGCAGATGCCTGCGAGACAAAACCATTGAACTGATCCATGATTCTGGTCATCGTGTGAGATGGTGTAACATGAGAACCTACGTGTACCGGCGCAACACAAGGTGATGATGACATCAATGATTAGAAAATAAATGTATTCACCAACCTCTAAACCTCAGAGCCGCACACAGGTTTCTATTTATGCTAATGCTGTTTGCTCTAGTCTGTAACCAACACAAAGTTGGGTAAAATAAAATGTAACATATTTCTTAAGTTTTGTAACATTTTTCTTAAAGTTTTATAACATGGTTTTTAAAGTTTTATAACATGTTTCTTAATTTATAACGTGTTTTTTTTTCTAGATGCAGAATGAGCTCTTAAAGCTTCAGCAGACATTGTCAAAAGAGCAGTCACAGCCAGCAACGACTGTAGAAGATCCATGGACAGTAACAGCTGCAGACAATGTAGCTGGCAAGCAGATCAAACAAAGTCAGAGTGAGCAGGAACAGGAAAAGAAGTTGCCCAAAGAGCAGAAGAAAAAACCAGAGAAAGAATCCAGAACTGAGAAGCAAAGGAAAGAGATGGAAGATTTGCAAAGGATGATTGATGAAGCAGAAGAAGCAAAGAGACAGAAAGAAGAGAGAGCCAAAAGACAGTTAGAAGTGGAGATGCAGAAGATTAAAGAATCAGAGGAGAAGAGGAAATCTGGTTGGGCCAGGAGAATGATTGAAGATGCCAAACAAAGTCCAGAATATGTCACTGGGGAGAATGCACCATCAAAAGAGGAGATACAGCGCATGTTCAAACTGATAGAGACCAGACGCAAAGAGGTTGGAGAAACCAAAAAGGTAGAAGAAACCAAAGGACTTGAGACATTTAAATTAGAGCAAGCAGGGGGAAATGCAGGACGGCCCGAGGAAATATTGAAGAAAATGGGATTGGATTACTTGGATGCTCAGTCCTCTCAGATGCTCGATCATGCTCAGTTTGATGCTGCTGTCCAAGAAAAGGTTACAGGCAGTGATATGCAGGCCACATCAGAGGAGTCGCAGATAAACACAGAAGAAATTGTAAGTATACATTGTTTATACCTGGACTAAAAGCTTCAGATAGATGTTGCATTACTTTATTGAATTTAAAAAAAAGTTTTTACACAGGTCTCATACTTGGGGGGGGGGGGGGGGTGTGACCAATTTATATATCTACATTATCAAGTTTTTTTGTTTAGAAGTATATAAAGCGGATAATCAGTGAGCGAAGCATTAAATGAAATAATACACTTCCTTGGGTCTAAAACAGATATGTTATGGGAACATGTGAAGGCATATGGTATTAAAATGGTCAAAAGGAAACTCCCTAAATACTGTTTTTAGTTAAAATATTTAGGCCCCCTAAACACTGCTCAGGTCCACATAGAACCAGTGGAAATAACAGTTTTCAAGAACAAGTCACAAACCTGAAGTAACTAGATTTCGTTTTCTTGAGATGACAAATAATGCATATTTGCTGTTGCAGTTGAAACAAGAATTTATGAATAAATAATCGTATAGCCAGGTATAGGTAAACTGCCAGCAGGATATATAAGGCCTTCCATTCACCTGTGGGGCACCTCTTGAGCAAGGGTCAATCTACCAGGTTGAATGAATGTTTTTTTTTCCTTCCACCTCATCTCCACCTCCCTTTTATGTTGAATGCTAATGTTTTTTTTCCCTCCCTCCCCCTTTTACCTCCCTTTCCCTTTTATTTGAATGCTAATGTTTTTTTGTTGAATGCTAATGTTTTTTTCCCTCTCCACCTCCCTTTTATGTTGAATGCTAATGTTTTTTTTCCCTCTCCACCTCCCTTTCATGTTGAATGCTAATGTTTTTTTTCCTCTCCGCCTCCCTTTCATGTTGAATGCTAATGTTTTTTTCCCTCTCCACCTCCCTTTCATGTTAAATGCTAATGTTTTTTTCCCTCTCCACCTCCCTTTCATGTTAAATGCTAATGTTTTTTTCCCTCTCCACCACTCTTTCATGTTAAATGCTTATGTTTGTAATGGGTATTTTATTTTTCTAATTTCAGAAATCAGATGTAGTGGCTTGGAGTCCTGAGAGGTAGTTTTCATTGTTGAACTTTTGCCTTGTTGAACTGTTTGCTTTGATGAACTGTGTGTTTTCCTTGTTGAACTATTTGCTTTGATGAACTGTATGTTTGCCTTGTTGAACTGCCTGCTTTTTAGAAATCTTTGCCTTGTTAAACTGGCTGCTTTGTAGAAATGTTGAACTGTCAGCTTTGCCAGACTGATTGCTTTGTTCCCTGCCTGCCTCATTAAACTAATCTTTTGTGTTTTAGAGAAGTGTTCATATGTAAATAAAAATAAGCCAAAGTACTGTTACAGTTAGTGTTGTTGCGTGTCAACAATATACTTCAGAGTTTATTCCCAAACAGTGGCTGCTTGTCATTGTTTTCTGACTTGTGTGACAGACAATAGGGCGGCTAGCCTGGTAAAATATCTTTGGGTCACTTCTTTTAGGGCTAATTTTTCTTGTAGTTTTGCAGGCAGGTTTTTAGTATGGGAGTTAATGTTTCTGTGATCTTCTTCTCTAGTCTGAATTTCTTTGTTATTTTTATTGTCTTTCCATTAATGTACTCTGTTGTTTAAGGATTTTAGTTGTTAGTATCTGCAGATTTCTTCTCTGTTTCCGCAGCCTGTTAAAATGCCTAGTTTCTTGTGCTCTTGATTTGTTTATGAAGAAATGTCTTCATACTCTCTTTCTGGTTAGTCAACAGATCATCCTTTTGCACATGAAACCATCAAGTCCATAACTGCTCGGATCCCCTCCTCAGTAAATCCCGCAGTATGTAGCGGCTGATGACACCTAATCTCTGCTGGTTGACACCTATTCTCTGCTAGTTTACTATTTACTTCTTTGGCTTCCTGCATAGAGCTGATGCCTAGCCTCAACCTATTTTCACTTTGCTTTTCTTGTACTTTGGTCATAGATATGGATTCGCAGTTATCACTTTATTCTTGTAAATGTCCTACTTGTAAGGATCACTATCATGTTGCTATGTACTGCTTAGTGACAATCTTTGAACCTGAAGTATTAAAATTGTGGATCATTTTCTTCTTAACTGGGTCAGGATATCTGTTTTCTTATTCTTCGGCTGTCAGCGTTTGCTATGTTATTCCGGTGTGAATAATAAATAGTATGGTGTAATTGATGTCTTCACTGATGCCCCATGGTTTATTTTGTAGGGACATTCCTGTAGGCTAGATTTCTTCTCTCTGACTGGCAAAGTCTTGGCAGTCCTATAAGAAATTGCTACCATAACTATTTGCGATTGATTCTGTATAACATTTTTCATAACAAAAGACAGCAAGATTATATTTTGGTATATGTTGTGTATTGATTGCAAAAAAGTATTTTTGAAAAAGCCAGTCTACACAAAAATGTCTCTGGGAATATTAGTAGTGATGCCTCAGTCTCTTCTATGTTACGACACTCGTCCTACTGTCTGAATACCAGAAAACCAAATTGCTTAACTATTATCCAGCAGTTCTTAACCTGTGGGTTGTGACCCCTTTAGGGGTTGAATGACCCTTTCACAGGGGTCGCCTTAGACTATCAGAAAATACATATTTACTGAAGTTATGAAGAAGCAGCGAAAATAATTTTATGGCTGGGGGAGGGGGGGGGGGGGATCACCACAACATGAGAAAATATTAAAGGGTCGAGGCATTAGAAAGCTTAAGAACCACTGCTATAAACTATCCACCACAAAAATGGAACCCTAGCACTTGATTATAATGACATTTTTGAGCACATTCACTAACCTCTAAACCTCAGAGCCTTAGTAGTTCTTCTGTCACTTATAATATGTAAATGGTTTCAACAGTACTGCAGGACAGTGTCTGTGGCTTTGGAGGTTGAATGCAGTTCAGTTCAATGTATGTAAAACTGCTTATTTAACCCTCTGGAGACGACGCGGCCAAAATATCAGCCCGACACAAAGTAGCCAAAGGGACGACTGGGCCAATCGGTCAGCCTTATGTAATACAAGCCTTGAGATAGGCTGGCAGGTTTTCTTACCAGCCAATCAGATAGATTGCTTCTCGAATTTCTTGCACATGTAGGCTGTACATTGACGGCTTTTGAAAAAGTTGGATGTGTTTGGTAATTTTACATCAATTTTTTCTGTGGTTACCTGTGCTCAACAATGGCAAAAATGACTGTTGCATCATAGCAACTGAAACACAGCTGGAGGTAGGAAAATGAATAGAACCATGTGCCAGAAGTGTCTGAAGGTTCATTAAAGAGTCGTAATGCAGTGGATACCATCTCATTGTGGAGTGCCTGGAAAAAAGAAAGCTGATCAACTGGCAGGGAAAGGTGCAACAAAAGTGCAGCCAGATGTACCAGTCACATACCTTCAAAAGAAAAGAATCATTAAATCGATCAGGAAACCACCAGCCCCAGCACAAGATGACTATTTTATTATGGACAGACCATAACAAGTCATTATCCTCCGCCTCAGAACAGGGCACAAACGATTACGTAACCACATGTACACACAATTTAAGATAGGTGTATCAGCCATGTGCACCTGTGGAAAGGTGCCCCAGACAGCAGAGCATGTACTCCAGGACTGCACCGAATTTGACATATTAAGGCAAACCTTTTGGCCAGAAAGAACAACAGTGGAACCTAAACTATATGGACCACTGAATGACTGAAATTTATACAAGAGACAAAACTGCTGATATAGACAACTTATTTCAGGCAAACGAAAGAAGAAAAAGAAGAAGTGAAACGTTGATGTCGGTTTTCATATCAACTCATGTCTGCTCATTATGATTGCTCACATGTTAATCTTTTCAAACACAGAGCCCTGCATGAGGGAGTACCAGTTTACTCAGAAGAAGAGTTCAGTCTAGTGTGCTCTGCTCATGTTGGCGGTGAGCTTCCATGGGATCACTATGTCCGGATCACATATTACACTGACCGACGATGTCCTGTTGAGTCATGCCCAGCTACAAAGTACTTCAAGACCGGAGAATCTTTCATTAGTCACTGGGAAGTGTTTCACACATCACAGGTGAGTGTGTCAGTTCCCTTGTACTTCAGGGATTACTCCAATACTAATTTGGGCCCAGTCTATCTTCTTGAGTGTACTCACTAAGAACGAAGAAACTAGAGGCAGTGAAGATGTGACTTTTGAGAAAAATGTAACAAATATCATAAGACTATGAGAGTCATTAGTTACTAAGTCAAGATTTCAACTTCACTGCAAATGTGTTACCGTAGGTTGCTCCTTAGGCACATGCAAAGTGAATATCACACGTGGCTGCTGCCAGATGTGCCAGCACTAACACTCCCCACCAGAATTTCCGCTCATTGTAGGTGGAAGTAGCCAACGATACTAGTCAGAATTTGCACATGCGGTACTGCACAATGCACATGCCATTCTGCACTGAAGAAAAACGTATGGGAATATAAGACAATAAAAGGAGGCACAGTAGCCAGACACTTTATGCTGGTCTACAGGCCTTAGGTTCTGTTCCATGTTGTGGCAAATTTTTTTTTTTGTCTTTCTTTAGAATGGACCTTGGCTCCTAGATCGACCCAGCCAAAAAGAGGGTTCCAGGTAATGTCCTGGGAAATAAAGGTGACCAGTGGTGCGATTTTGACTGTAACCCACTGAGTGCCAGTTGGGCCTTAAAAATATGAGTCTAGCATTGAATGCCCATTGCACCACTAGTGTTGTGACGAAATGCCACTCTCACTCTCTCTCTCTCTCTCTCTCTCTGTCTCTCTCTCTCTCTCTCTCTCTCTCTCTCTCTGTCTGTTTCTCTCTGTCTCTTGCACAGAGGTAGCTAGAAATTGTGTATGTTATATATCAAATGTAATGTCTCTGTTTCTCTCTCTCTGTCTCTTGCACAGAGGTAGCTAGAAATTGTGTATGTTATATATCAAATGTAATGTCTCTGTTTCTCTCTGTCTCTTGCACAGAGGTAGCTAGAAATTGTGTATGTTATATATCAAATGTAATGTCTCTGTTTCTCTCTGTCTCTTGCACAGAGGTAGCTAGACATTGTGTATGTTATATATCAAATGTAATCTCTCTGTTTCCAGATGATAGTGAAGTTCTGCCAGAAATGCAATGCTTACTTCACCAATGTCTCAGAGCTGGAAACTCACCTGATGAATCGCCACTCCATCAACGGTGTGGAAACTGTGAAGAAAATGTCGCAGGAGGCTAGAGAAAAAATTGTGGCCAATCCTAGTTTCAGAGATCCAGGCAGATACCTGCCACCTTTGGTGTGAAACTGACTTTCTAGGAAGAGTATTGGCACCACTTTCACCAATTGCTTTATGTTATGCTTTTGCTTTGACCAATTGTTGTGTTTGTTTTCAGTTTACCATATGTCCCTAAGTATGAGGCACACATATTTTTCAATTTTACCAATAGAAAATATCTTTACAGGGCTTTGTGTGTGTGTGTGTGTGTGGGAAATCTGGTTCAAGGGCGACATAACGTGAAAAATATTTATAAAATTAAAAGTTCTTTCTTCTGTAATAGTTTTTGTGCTTGTCTTCGCACTCATTGTTTTTTCACTTGTTGCTTTAGGAATTTCTGTGTCCGCTAAGATTCAACCGCTTCATGACAGCATTAACAAACTCTTCAGAGTTGCCATGAGGTGTGAACAAGGTTTGAGGTTTAAACAACTGATCAACATCATGGCACACAGGTAGGAACCCATAAGTGCTCTGTTCTTTTTCTAACTCAGGTCTGAGTCCGAAGAAGCTCAGCACAATGCACAGGTTCTGTAGCACTGGCGAGTATCCTGAAATACTTTGGGTAGATTTTTAACTCAAAATTTTGCCTGGGCAACAATGCACACGGGCATCCGATCTCACTACCCAGAGACCAGGGGGAATTACTAGAAGTCCAAGTCCACAAGAAAAAATCCTAGCCCTTACCGGGGATTGAACCTGGAACCCCTAGCACTTGAGGTGGAGACCACGCAGCACCCTAAGTTGCCATGAAAGAAGATCTACTGTGACTTCCAAGGATGCGCCCAATTAGTTGCCATGAGAGAAGATCTACTGTGACTTCCAAGGATGCCTCCAATTAGTTGCCATGAGAGAAGATCTACTGTGACTTCCAAGGATGCCCCCAATTAGTTGACAGCTACCACATGCTTTTGGGGAAGTGGTGGGACTCTTCATGTTTTCCCTGTATTGGGTCCCACAAAACCCACATAGGGACTTAATGGGTACAGGGAGTTTATTATTCTTGAGTTTATTCTGAGTTCACTTCATAAGAGTGGCTAACAAAAAATTTTGTTTAAGCAAACTCTGGAATGCATCTAGTTTTGAATGCAGGGTACTGGATATTGTCCTAATTTCTGTTGAAGGTGGTGAGGAAGAAAGCCATTTTGAACTGTCATTGGATACAACTCACAAGTTTGAGGGTCAAAGAGTAAGGGGAAAGGCAATGAAATAAATACCCAAATGGCTTGGCCATGTGTATGGGGCAAGACCTGATCTATGATTCTGGTGATCATGTGAGATGATGAAGATGACCGCCTGAGTTTATCAGATGAATGATAATGATGAACCCACTTCCAGTGTCTATCCACAGGCTGCCAACTTGCTGTATCAAAATGTTGTTTCTATTTTTTATTTTTTATAACGATGACATTCAGAGTACCAACAAGATGCATACACATGTCGTAATTGTAACAGACCCTGAAAGCATGCTGAGAAAGGTGAAGACAGAGATGCTTTGAGCAGAGTGGTAAGCTTCACTGGAAAGGTCACAGGTAGTGAGCATACTTTAGATCTTTTCTCTAGGCAATGCCAGAGTCGTGGGTAATGAACATGCAGACAGATTGGCTGGATCTGCACCACCGGGTGGTGAATTGATACATGACAAGGCAGGTGTAGTCAAAGCTCTTTAGGAACCAGCAACACAATTATTATGATGTGGAGAGAACGAGGCACCTGGGTGTATCGAAAGGGTCTGGCCGGCTGACTACACTCAGAGGAAAGGCAGGACGGACTTATGACCAGTACCATCAGTATTGGAACTCTGCGCTGGCTGCTAAATATGAGGATGGAGCATGCATGGGAATGCCCTGAGTGCTGTGATGTCAATTTTTGACTCAACTCAGAGTACCACTGATGGTGATTTTCCCCATCTTATATGGCTTTTTATTGGAAATCATTGTTAGCCTTTGTTTAGTTTGGCTGTTTCATTAGTTCATTCATTCTTACTTAATTTATGCTGAGAATAAAGTATGTAAACTAACAGTTTATTTTTTCTCTGTGTTTTAATTCTTTCTGTGTGTGTGTATATAAAAATAATCATATGCATGCACACACACACACAGAGTGAGAGTTAATTTATTAACTGTCTATGACAAAATATAGCATGAAGACACTATTGTCTATTACCAAGGAATGTATGATAAGTTGTTTGGTACAGAAGGAGTTAAACAAAGGTTGTGTCTTTGTGAGTGAAAATGAGCAGTAACGGAAGTGTTTTTCCCCCATATTAAATATTTATTTGGCTTGTGTGGATTCTGGGGCTCCGTGTTTGCAAGCAAAGAATAAACCCACTGCCCCCCCCCCCCCCCCCCCAACAATCATGTCATAGGAGGCGACTAATTTATGTATGTTTCCTTCAAAGCTGGATTGTATCTTCCTCAGAGGTGAGTAACCAACAGTCTGCATACAATAAAGCCATGATCTGTAAAAAGGATGTGCATGCAAAAACTGAGTTCTTTATCAAGACTAAAGTCCAGGAATGAATAAAAAACCAGAACTTTCCAATGATGGAGTTTACAGCTGATGGACGCTAAAAAGAAGATTGGAGTCTGGCAAATGTTCCTATAACTGTTTTGTTTATAGGACTTCCTCATACCTGACCATATAGTGGTTAGTCTCAGCCCAGGGTGAAACGGATGTTCTTCTTCAGCATTTGATCTTTAAAGGATAGTTGGCACATAGTATTGCGGGTTACTGCTAGGCTGTGATATCTGCACCTTTCATCCTCCAGCAAACCCCTAATTAGCAGATAGTCTTGTTAGTGGGAAGTGGGTGTACCCCCTTTACCCCCCTCCTCCAACAGCTCTGCAACCCTAAGGTTGAATCTCCACTGGAAAGAGTTCAGATCCAATAGGCAAATAAGACAAGAAACCAAACAAGATAATGTATCCAATTTTATTAGAAAGCGCCGCTGGAATTACATGCACTCAGAGTGGATACGACAAGACTTCCCCATCAAGCCCTCATATGGACACTGGAAGGGAAGACCTAGAAAGACCCTGCGCAAAACCATCATCAGGGAAGGCTCAACCGTGGGCCTCATGAACATCCAAGACCTAAAACAGGTGGCAGCGAACTGCCCAACATGGAGAGCTATGACCTATGCGCCGCCCTAGGCTCAAGAGGAAAGACTGACTAATTTATTGGACACATTAGCTTTTAAGGGATAAGACGTTCTTTTCCACTAGGGACTTGGACCAGTCTGCCGAGGCTTATATCCCAAGACGTACCGTTGCGTCCAGAGCCAGCTCGAAGCTATTTCAGCAGTTTCACCCAGTTTTAGTGACCGTTTACGCTCGTTTATGCTTAAGCACATTGTACATGGAAGTGGAGATAAAACTTTGTGCGCCTACCTCGACGGTGAAGATTTTGCTGAGTATCCTTTGTCTCTCCTCAGACCTGCCAAAAGATCCCCATACTTCTTGAGCTTGTACAAGTGATTTTTGTCCATTTGCGACTGGTACGGCACAATCAGCTCAATCAGGATGAGCTGGCGTTTTTCTGCAAACTGCAAGACTATGTCAGGTCTGAGGCCAGTCTTCCGGATTAACTCTGGGTATCTCTCGAAACCAGGCAGGTCAACAGTCAGAAACCAGTTCCTCGCACAGTCAAGTATTGATAGAGAGCTTGCGACATTGTTGATTTTACCTGTGTAAATCTGCCCAGCCTTGAGGAAGTGCATGGGATGACGGTAGGACTGGCCTTCATTCTGGCTTGGTCCACTTTGGGTGTCGAGTGAGAGGTAAGGTTCTGCTACTTGTTCCAGTGGGACTTCTGACAGATGCAAAACATGTACTTCAGGCAACTGGTGTAAAGTAGCTATGCAATAGAAACTGTCCCACTGTGGAGTTCCCAGAAATGAAGGAAGATGCAACTGAAGAACAAGCTGATGTACCAGTCTATTATCAACAGAAGAACAGAATAATCAGATTAATCAGAAAGCCAACAAAACTGGCATAAGACGGTTACCATATAATGGACAGACCAGAGCAAGTCATTACTTTATGCCTTAGAACAGGGCGCAATCGACTTCACAGTCACATGCACACTAAATTTAAAATTAGCGAATCAGCTATGTGTACTGGCACCTGTGACAACAGATCCACATCCTCCAAGATTGTCCCAAATACATTTCCAGGCAAAACTTCTGGCCAAAAGAGACAATGTTGGAAGCCAAACTTTGGATCGCTAAGTGAATTACAAAAGACAGTGAAATTGATACTAGAGACAGCATTGCAGATATTGTAATCAACTATTTTTTGGCGGAATCTATCGTCGCCTGGAGATCCCCTATATCCTTCCAAATTAACTTACAGGGCTCGAATTAAATAAGTCTAGGGGAATTATAACGGTCCCTGAGTTCTGGAAAATAGAGGAAGGAGAATACAGAAAGTTAAAGAATAGGGTGAATCCCCGAAAATGTCCTAAAGAAATTCAGAAAACCACCAAAGTCAAAACTTTGTAAATTTAACTCAAATAAATTGCAATGAACAATCTTTAGTCTACCGAAGAAGTAAATTTGATACGATGAAATCGATAAAATGGAATTTCTAAACCACAACTGTATTGATAAAATACTGATATTGAATTCAACAATTTTCAAATTAACACAGAGAAAATAAATAAATGTATCATCATGACACCACATTAATTTATACAAATATTCAGTAACACTCAGCTTTACGATATACGGGATGTGTCCAACTGCAGCTTCTCTGGGAGGAATGTACAAGATTCTGGCTGCGACTGTTATAGTCCTCGCCTAACTGCGACATTCATCTGTGAGATCTCGGTTGTTCATTCTATACCGTCTGGTTCCCAATTCACAAGGTAACAGGAATGGCAGCTCACGATCCACAGGTAACAGGGATGGTGGTTCACAATCCACAGGTAACAGGCATAGCGTAAAACGGGAATACGGGATTATGGTCCTCTGGTAAACAGGCAGACTTGAATACGGGAGCACGGGATTTTGGTCCTCTGGTAAACAG